CACTGTCACCACAGACAGCACAGATTGTAGGGCTCAGTCCCACAAACTGTGAAATCATGACCTGAGCTGAAATCAAGAGTCAGACGCTCAACGTATAGAGCCACCCAGGTGCCCCGAGAGAAGTATTATCATCCCCATTTTCCTAAAGAGGGATCTGCAACACTGGGAGATTAACTTGCCGAATGGCAAACAGTGAGTATGGATTCTGTCAGAGTCCAAGGCCCCAGACTTAACCATCAGTCTGCTTTTTTTCCCCTTCTGTTTACTCCCTACCTCCATCCCTCCTCCCTTCCTTCTTTTCTCCCATCCTTCCTCCCTTCTCTCTTCTCCTTCCTTTTGCCTCCCTTCTCTTTTTTAGACGGAAAAACCATAGTTGAACTCCCAGTCAGGAAGCCTTTGCAGTTTCCTTGGGTGTGATGAAAGGCTGTTTCTGAGGGTGATGAGTGGAGCAAAGAAGGAAGTAAACATGCTGAATATTTAGGGGGCGCTAAGCAGCATGCTGAGAGCTTTTGTATGATTGGTCTCATTTAATCCTATAAGCTTCTAGAAAAAGGAGTTTCTATTGTTATACCTATTTAACAATGAGGAAACTGAGGCTCAGACAGGCACCTTGCCCAAAGTCACACAGTTTTTAATGAACAGAGCTAGGATACATCATGATCTAACAGAAGTCTGGTGCCAACTTGCATTGCTGATCGCTATTATTGTCTCCCCGCTTTATGCTATACTTTTCAGTATGGTGGAGAAAATGGTCCTTTTCTGGGTGATATTTGTCAACCTCTCCTCAACTTAACAATGGTAAAATCTTGGTAATTCCACCCGGCTTTCAAAGTCTTTTGCCATCTGCCCGTTTTTTAGTTGGTCAATTTCACTTCCCACAACTCCCTTTCTGCACTCTCTCCTCTTTGCAGGCTGGTATTTTGTGCCGCTGCTATTACATTGATTTCCTCGTCCACGCTTTCTAGTCTCCGTTATCAAGCTGCATACATCCTTCAGTGCCCACCTTAAGCACCTCCTTACGCATTCCTCATCTCTTGGTCCTAGGTGACAGAGACATTTCATCACCTCACAGCTCTGTGCAAAAGCTTTCAGTGATAGCCTTTTAATTGCTAAACAGAAGCCAGGCTTCTTAGCTTGGTATTCAAGGTAGCCATTCAGTCACAAATAGGTACTGAGAGCCAGTTATGTGCTAGGCACTCTTGAGGTGCTGGGCGAACTGTAGAGAACCAGACAGACGGGTTTCTATCCTGATGGTGAACAAACTGGACATTAAATAATTACAAATAATCAACTAAATAATTATTAGTATGATTTAAGCAATTACAAGTTTCTCTAGAATCTGGTCTCAACCTATTTTCAGTTCCTTCTCATCCTTTATTCCATTCAGACGAGCCTACTCATTCCATTCCCGCCTCTGTGGCTGTGCCCTTACTCTCCTGTTTTTCCTGGGTGTGGGTTCTTCCCTGCTCCACCCTCTACCCCTCCAGGACTGGCTTTAGTTCCACGTCTTCCATGAAACCCTGCTCCACAACTTGAACCCAAAGGATCTTCCCTCATTTGAATTTCTAGCACTTATCCATTGGACAAATATTTACTGAATGACTTCTTGAAATGTTTGATGAATGACTCTTCATGAAGTCCTAAACACATGCTACGTATTAAAGATTTAAATTATATAGGGAGTTAGACTTTTCCTACTGAGAGGGATCAAGGATCTTTTTTTCCTCTTCTCTGGGTGGGGGTGGGGGAGAAGAGTGGAGATCAAAAAAGCTACAGTAAAACATATAAAATTACCAATCAACAAAATGACAATAAAAATTGCCCAATCACTCATAATGATGTAGGAAACAGGCAAATGAAAAATTAAATTCACTTACCGCTTACAGCCCATTGACAAGTCCTTGAGACAGGCAGAGTGATCTCCCTCTAGGAGCTCAGCTGCCTCGATGATGACACTTTGCTAAGGGCAAAAGGGAATCTTAGCTTAACGTGATCCTCATCCCCCAGAATCCTGTAAGCCTACTTTGACATATAAAAATTCCTTTGGCAACTTCCTTTATCTTTACTGCCGCCCTCAAGATATATGTTGGCAATCATCCTCCAAGCATATGCCTCACTGATATATATCTTAAGGGTCTCATGACTAAAGTTTTATTAGGCAATAATAAATAACATTTTCCTAACAACAGCTAGCCCCCTCAAAGTCCTGGAAACCTTGCATCCAAAATTCCTTAGACTTTCACTATCCCTAACCCCCTCCCAGCCTGAAGGTATATAATCAGTCACCCATCAGAACCCCAGTGCAGGGGCGCCTGGGTGGCACAGTCGGTTAAGCGTCCGGCTTCAGCCA